TGGACCTTTAAAGAGTATTCTTAGGACGTTTCAGCTGAATCCAAGTTTGAGCGATTTTCGTCAGAGTAGCACTTTAAAGATTGACGAGAGAAAGGGTTTCATTAGAAGCCAACAAAGTAAAGTTGTTTTGCAAGCAAAACCATGCACATGTGCAGTGCTGTAACTATGACCATGCTGTGCTGAGTCCAAGCGTTTTGATTGGCTCAGCAGTGAATTAGCATGTCATTGTCTCAAAGAATGATGTGCCACTGTATTTTTGACACTGTGCCTTGCACTCTGCTATTAGACAGTCTTAAAGAATCTACTCTATTAATCCCTTTTCATGTAACATCAATCTAGGAGTCAAAATATTACATGAAAAACATTTAAATAAGAAATGATTTCAAATATTAGAAGAAAGGTCTCTTGTTTTTATCCCAAGATAGGGAGTTAGTGCAAGGGGTCTGAGGTTTCTATGTTTTACTGAAGGTTGAAAGTTGTTTCACATTGTAGGATTTTGATGCTAATTTTTAATTTTTCAATTTTATACTTTGAAAATACTTCTCTAAGAACCTTGTGGACAAACCTAGAACAATATTGTCCGAAATCCTTGTAGTATATAGAGTTTTAATTTTTTTTAAATGTACATTTGTTGTCCATTAGATAAAATTGAGAGCAAGACATCCTGGCATAGTATTACAGTGTTTAAGCCATTTCTGCAGGACAAAGTTAATTCCTATGTAAGGAAAGGGTGAGTAAGAAAGCATATTCTATTCCAATTTAATTGAATGTTATGTGGGGATTGAACTTGTGAGCACCGTGGTGAAAGAAGGGGTATTAGCAGCAAGCACCACCCATTCTTCTTTGTTCAACCCTTTTCCTGCACAAAAAAAAAATGTAGGAAATAGCATTTCTGTGGGATGGATTTATCACCCCCCCCCCCCCCTCTCTCTCTCTCTGTTCCCTTTTATATGCAGGGTAGGTTTGTATGCCATATACTTGTAACATTTGGGTGGCATAGTGGTTTAATGCTCGCCTCTCACAGCTATGGTCCAGGTTTGAGCCACGGCTCATACTGGATCATATGTGAGTTGATTTTGATTGTTGTGTTGTTCTCTCCTATGCCACAAAGGTTTTCTCTGGGTTCTCAGGTTTCCTCCCTCCGTGAAAATCAACATGTGAGTTGAGCGTTGTATGTCATATGTAAATATAGAATTCAGTGGTGGAGGGAACCTCACGGAAGAACCCCATACAGGGAGAGGTGGTTGTAAAATATAATTTTATATTTAGTAAGTGAATACTAATAATGTTTTGTGTATTATCATTGAATTGGTCGTAGGACAAGGCTGTTTGTACAGGGATCTATAGATTACAATTCCTATGTTGACCAGGAAGGTCAAAAGAAGTATATTACTTCAATTATTCCAAGTAAGTTAATTTAATGAGAACCTTTACTAGGGGGGTGGGTTGTAACTCAATGTACAAACCAAAAATTCTGCAACTGAAATGAGAACAAGTTTAATATATTTGTCAATTCCTGAGTCAAAAATCAACAAAGGGAGGTATTCAAAATAGGCCTTTTGCAACGACAGGTCACATTACCCTACCCCCCTTAAAAAGAGAAGTTGTGTCAAAACGAACATCAAAAATGGAAAGAACAACTCAATGTTAGTATAAGTAGGCAAAGTTTTTAGTTGTGCATTTCCATTTCTGATGTAACTTTTGGCGCAGCGTCATTTTTTATGAGGATTAAGGTCACATGACTTGTTGCAAAAGGGCTATTGTAATCTTTGCATCTCTGAAACTATAACATTGCATATTCTATTTCTAGGGCAGGTAAAATTGCAAACTTATAACCCTAATTTTGCGAAATATGGCAATGAATTTGAATAGCTATTGTATTCTGGTCTGACTAGCCTCTCATACATGTGAAAAAGCACTTATGTTTCCATGTGAACACGAGGCAGGTCAGTCGCTAGTCAGTGCAGAGCAGTAGTTACTCAAATTGTTGGTTGCCATATTTCAATTGGTGTATTTAGCCTTTTTCTTTCTTTTTCTTTTTTCTTTGATCATTATCCTTTTATCCCTTTTTTTTCAGATTTTGTTTTAAATAAATACTTAATTAAACCAAAACGTGACACTTTACAATATACAGATATACAAAAAGCTATACATAACATTTTCTGTCTCTTTTCCTTATATTTCTTATATATGTTTTTTTTTACCTACCTCCTCCTCTTACATTTTTTTAAAGTGGGTGTTTTATTTATTTACAATAATATACATATATTAATATTTTTACTATTCATTTTGTTTTTTTTTTCATTATCATTATTATTATTTTATTTATTCATTTTTTATTTTTTATTTTTTTGTTACCGACCTCCTCCCCTACTATTTATATGACATTTGACTTTTTTTTCCAGATGATATTATCATCCTTGGGAGATCACAGTCAAATTTAGAAGGCGAAGAAGATCCTGATTTCTAAATACTGGTCAGATATCTAGAAATACTGTATTAGTGCTGAGTCTCTTGTTTGACTAAAAACTTTGCTTGTAAATTAGAAAACGTTGGGGGGAGGGGGGGGGGTGAAATGACCTTCCTTCAAAACTGTATAAAAATAAAACTGATTGGATAAGATACAAGGAAACAATGGGAAGCCATTTCAGTGCCTTAGCTGAACGAACCGTTGATTTTCTTGCCATGCAATTACTGTTCAATGACTGAGAGGCCATTTCACTGTCACCGTATTACAAGGAAACAATAGGAAGCTATTTCAGTGCCCTAGCATGACGAGCCGTTAATTTTCTTATTAACTGCACAATGACTGAGAAGCCATTTCACTGTCACTTCAGGGCAAGAAAATAATGGGAAGCCATTTCAGTGCCCTAGCATGACGAGCCGTTAATTTCCTTATTAACTGCACAATGACTGAGAAGCCATTTCACTGTCACTTTAGGGCAAGAAAATAATGGGAAGCCATTTCAGTGCCCTAGCGTGACGAACCGTTAATTTTCTTACCATGCAAATACTGTTCTACGAATGAAAAGCCAATTCACTGTAAACGTACCATAACTAAAATGTAAACAACGCATCATTAATTTAAAAAAAGCTTTTGGATATTGATTTTTTTTTTGCTAAAAACCTGTTAAATGGAAAACTAAAATAAGATAAAAACTTTTGAAATAAATGATGTAGAAAACAAAATATATATATTATATTATATTACGATATATTATATATAAAATCGAGAACTAAAAATCCGTTTATCTGGTCTTCAAAAAAAAGCCGTTTTTGCCGTTTGTTTATCCATCTGTTCAAACTCCTTGAAGTTTTCAAAGAATGCTGCCAAAAAAGGAATTGCGCGGGAAATATGACGTCACACAAGGGCTTTCTTTCTTTTTTGCAGACGCTAATTCTATTTACGTTGATTTATATTAACTGCGTAAGAACAAAGAACATCACTCAACCGTTTAAGTTTTTTCTCTTAATGATATTCAATAAATAATGATAATCCGTTGGAAGAATGCGTTCGAAATTTAAACTCGTTCACTAGAGCGAATTAAAGCTCAGATAGAAAAGTTGGTAAAATTTCAAAAGAAATGGTTCCGAATGAAACGAGTTGACTTCTAAGAGGCTTCTATCTTTTCTGGAAGTTCRATTCTCTAAATTGTACTTGGATTGAAAACCAGATAAGTTTGAATTGCGCTGTTGCTGAGGTGAGTTATCTATCTCTGCTCTTCAAGTTACAAACCTGCAACTATCGAATCTCAAAACACATATAGAAACACATTTTATACTGAACTTTATTTCCTAATAGGCTTCAGGGCAGTCAAACAAATTCAGTCTTGAAATCTTCCAGTATTTTGATAAATTTACGAACTCCAAAACTATGTGAATGAAGAATTCGACAACAAAAAGTCGACTTCCATATTCATGCCAAATTCAAGCTACTAAAAAATTATTTAGGGGTGATTGGAATGAACTAAATTTTTTTTACGATCAAAGTAYATTTGGAGTATTTTAGCTTCAATTTTATGAATTTTTCTTTAGTGACAGGAGAACAAGGTTTTGAAAAAGTAAACAAGCCTGACCTTTTTCGGATTAAGTCTACGCTAGTCTATATAAGGTGTTTTTTGAAATTTTAATTCTGTATACAATGAATGCTAGAGCACAAATACTGTCTTAATGCAAAAAGATTGGTTGTAGATTTGAAGTACGTCCAAGTAATACGTCTTGTACAATAAACTGAAAACAGATTTATCGTGTGAATTTAACAATGGGCTGTTTACAGTCCAGATATTTCTATTCATTTTTGAACAATATGGTGATGTAACTCTTGTACAGTACATTATACGATGATTCAATTGATAAAAGCTTTTTGAAATTTTAGAATATATTCGAATTTTAAACAGCGAAGTTTTTTTAGAAGTGTTTGGAAGTTAAACTAATTTTTAAAGTGAATTGCTTTTTGATAGATTGATTAATTTGGATGTGAAATAGAGTCTTCTTAAAGAATACACCAGATTTTTTGGGGAGTCTACTAGCGTTTAGCGTGGCTAAACTTGGAATCATCGGGGAACATGCGCGCGGGAAACATGTTTCTGGAAACTTGTTTCCTCGTTTAGCCAGGGCCTTAGTAAGATTTAGACCCCGCCAATTTTTAGCGCATGCGTAAAACATATTCTCTGGTTTCGAGAAATCCTGCATGTAGTCTCCATAAAAGGTCAACCTTTGATACCAGTCTTCGAATTCCTATGAGAATTCCTTCGCTCAACCCGATACTGACAAACCTTTCATTATGATGTCATTTGTAGTATTTTCAGTTTCTGGCTCACAATTTAGCATTTAAACCCTTTTCATAAACATATGTCATATTGTCTAAATTGAAATATTTATATAGCTCAATGCAATACTAAGCGGTCGCAGTAGGTATATGTGTATTACAGTGAGGAGTATTTTGTTACTTGAAATTCATATTGTAAAACAATCAATTGAAAATGATATTTGTTTTGCTCTCAATGCTTCATTTTAAAAGGTCTGCGAAACAGAAACTTCAGGAAATAATAACCTGATAATGAAAAAAAGTAGTGTTTGCGGTTTTGAGTGTCCCCAATCTAACGCCACTGATATTTGGGCGTCTACTTCTTCTAAATATTTAGATAATTCGATACACGTCGTCTGACAAGATCGTCAAAACATTCTCCCTGCTGCGCCTCCGGACAAAAGACGCAGTCAAAATCCTTTGGTAGCGATTTCGTAGCGGTTCTCTACACCATCGATAAACTAATAAGCTGTCGATCGCATGAATGTTCTTAGGATTTTCCTCTAGACCTTGGCATAGCTTATGTGTAATCTTTTGACTTAGACGAGGGTGGCAGTACCGCGTCATTTAAAGGGACCACCGATAACAGTCTCCCAATCGTATTACTGTTTTCTTGTTCAGAAAGTGCGGCAAAAGGTACTTCTTCATTCGAGCAGCACAAATGGAATCAAATCAATAGATTGTGAGTGTGTTCTATGATACGACGACGGGGACCGCGCGTAGATGACACGTTAAGTTGAAACTACGTGGATATCAAGGTATGAGTGAAAACTGAGGCTGTTGATCTTGTAGGTCTTTGCCTTTGCTAACGGTAGTTCTAGTAACAGTAGTATCAAACCATCACTAGCATACCTACTACTTGAACCATCAAACTGGGGGCTGCAATAGTTCAGTGTGATCTAAAAACGATGTCTTCAATTTGTACTTGTAAATGCAATGTTCTGATATATCTATGTTTTAGTGAAAAATAGAAAAAATCTGAGATTTACGGTATGAGTATAAGCTATGCTATTTAGTAGATTTCGAGGTTAAGTCGTCAATGGATTAAAGCCGCGTGCGTGACGAATGTCACCAGCCATTCCGCGATAATACAACTTCGTACTCGACTTTTTCATCACTTGGCATGTATTTTTTTTTTGTCGGACAAAGGCTCTCTGGCTGTAACTTCTAAATCCCTAGGAAAATGCATTGAGGCCAAGTAAGTATGAACTGTGCACAAAGAAATAATTTCTGCACACACAGATTGAAAACCTTTAGGTCAACGGATATTAGATCACTCAGCTCACACTAACAAGGTTACTGTTAGACATAGAGTATCGCGTTTGATGTCTATACGAAAAGGTTTGCGAAAGGCGGCGAGTAGCTGCGAGATTCTCTCATTTATCACGGCTGACATTTTAAATAGAATAGGATGAGGTTAGGAGGATAAATATAGAAAAGGATGTGAAGTACCCGCGAAAATATGGCGCGTAACTCATTGAAGATAGTGGCGACAGCTAAAACAATCAATCCGTGTGTTACTGGGTTATCAAGCCATGATTTTAAGAAAAGGCAATGGTTGTTTAAAATACAACTGTTTATTAAAGCCTTTGTTTTTTAAGTCGGTGAGTCGCGTACATCCTCGCGGTTCAACCAAAGTATCCTGGCTATTCATGATAAATACCTCGGTATAGTTTATTGTCATAGCGTGGTTTTCGTATTGAGTGGTAAACGTGACGGCAAACTCGTAGTCTCATGGGTTTTTTTTTGGTTTTTGTTTGCAAAAGCTGTAATTACGCGTTCTGATTAGATTAATTAGTAGACGTTTTTTTCTTTTTTTTTTTTTTTTTAACAACATGTACCGTGTACTTGCTATCCATTTGTCGGAAAATCGCTCTAGTTATCTTAGCTCATCCTCACTTTACTGAAGGAATTTACAGAACAGGCGTTTTTTGTGGAGGAAATTTAATCCCATGAATGAGTACATAGTTGTAGGTTAAGTTGGAGTTCTGTTAAAGTGTGTTCTTTATTACCCCGAGTAGGATTACACGTAATCTCTTACTTCATTGAACAGATTTACAAGCTTAAGTGTGCGTGCCGCTCTGAATGGACTTCAATGTCGTGATGCTGTCCATGCTGTAATTATTGATAACCACTGGTTTAAGATTCCGATCGAAATTTTACGGATTCGTCTAACAAGGTGTGTATGTGGGCTGAGAGGATGGCTTAACTCACTCCTTTTCGGCTAAAGACGTACTGACATTTGGCGCGCAAAATATGGGTTTCTCGTCGGTAAAAGCCGATCGATCCCGAGGAAGTTTCTAGATTTCGCTCCACAGGGAACCCAATTTATAAAGTGTTTTTGTTTTTTTGTTTTTTGTTTTTGTTATTTCTGACAGTAAACAAATTAGAGAAAGATGCCACGAGTTGCTAAATAGCAGATACGGAAAACCGTACATCTAAAAAGAAGGCTGTTTTTAGTTGGAATGGCCTGGGCTGTCTGTTACTGGCTATCACGTGATTCTTCATCTGTCAATATTTATTATGAAGCTACAGTTCTGAATTCCAATCGAGAGCTTAAAGGGTTCAGGGCTAATGAATTCTGATCGACGTTTGGAGTTGCAATGACAAAGATTTGATTGTTTAATTGATTTTTCATTGACATGGACGGCCTGTCGAGCAGCCATGAAAAATGTTAATATGGTATGACGTCATAGGGCTCGCTAATTAAACTTACGATATGTGCGGGATTAGTTCGGGAAATATATTCTTAGAATTTAAGTACTGCAAGGGAAGGGACTTTAGTCTCACGCGGGTAATAAGGTCAAACCTGATTTAGAGGGGAGGGGTGAGCTACTCATGTCCTCAAATTTCTCCAAAACTAAAGTCAATTAAATTGCACGTTTCCATGTATGCTAAATTAAAGCATTCGTCATCACAATTGATTAGCGTGCGTCCGTCGAGCGAGTTTTGGGTGCACTTTCTCGGTTTCTAAGCACGCAAAGAAGCGCAAGAGTCGCGCGAGGCGTAGCCAAGTGGACAGCAAGTTATCGAGCATTACAACAGATCTCTGAAGAAAGTACAACACGATTGCCGGATAGACTACATGAGTAATTTCTGAATTCGTTTTTATTTCTGCAGAAAAAACTGTTCACAGCTAAGATGCACTGGTACATACCGCAGTCTTCGAGAACCGACGTATCACCGCAATGACCATTCACCAACACTCCAAAGACCCTGGGACATATAGTCCCTTTATAGGGTATATTGCATTGGTCGTTACCATAACAACCCTAGTTGTTGGAGTTTTATGTAAATACCTTAAAGAACTCTGTCGAAGAATCAAGAGAAAGAAAAGTCGAAGACGAAAAAGAGCGTCTTCTAGTCCTACTACAAGTAGATCTGGGTCATTAAGAATTGATTCAAAAAAGCTCTCATCTCCAGTCAAGCGCTCTGACAGTTCTGCATCAAAGGCGCCATCTGTGTCAGCGGTCGATTTCTCTATTCCCAAGACTAGACAGAATGTTCTACAACAGCCATTGCCTGAGCTCACACAAGGCCGACTCGGCGATAATAACGGAAGTGGAGACGAGAAGAGAATGTCGTAAGATAACTTTCTTGGAAACTATTTGTTAGCTTCAACCACTATTAGTATAATGCTATGCGTTTTGAAATTTTATAGTTCCATGATATGATGTTCTGTATTTTGCTGAAGGTGGTGATGATGATGGTAGGGGTGCTGGTAATGAATGGTGATGATGATGATGATGATGGCGATGATGATGATGTAGTTGGTGGTGGTGATGATGGTGGTTGTGTTAGTGATGATGATGTGGACTGCTAGTAGTTTCATCGTAGGACCTTCTTGAAAATCACTAATATGGTGAAGAAGCTTCCTAAAGAAATAAGCAAAATATTAGAAAATATCTAACTATACATTTTCGTTTTCCAGGATGGTTGGTTTGTATTTCACTGACGAGCAGCTAGCATTGGACACTATAGAACCCTCTGCCTACAAAAGACTAGATCATACTGTCACAGTTGGCAAGAACAGTAACCTCGGAGAGCTCCATTTCATCGCTAAATACTCGGAACGCAATCGGAAACTCACCATCCTTGTGGTCGGCGGAAATGACTTTCCAGCGCGTGACTTTTCCGGCAGTTTAGACACGTGTTTGACGATTGCGTTACTTCCGGATCGTTCTTTAAGAAAGCAAACTGCAATATATCGACGTTCAGTAAACCCGATGTATAACGAAAGCTTTACTTTTCACATAGCAGCAGACGAAGATGTGTATTCACGGAGTTTATTGTTCGTAACGTTTTATTTTGATCAGTATTCGCATAGTCACGTGCTTGGTGAGCAACAAGTGCCCTTGGTTGACCTTCACCTTGGAGATGAGACCATGGTGCGATGTTTCTTACAAGAAGCTTCGGTAGGTTTGGAAATGGACCAAATCCACCTGCGCGTAATGTTTTGCCCATTTTAGACGACGTGTCATTCCCTTGAGAAAAAGATTCTTTGTTTCTTTTCATGTGAAACCGTTAAACAAAGTAACAATATTCTAGGGAATGACACGTGGCTGAAATGGGAAAACTGTGGATTAGGTGTTTAGAAGAATGTAGTATTTTGAACAATGTAAAATTAAAAGAAGCCCTCCCATTTTTGGTGGACGCGGAGACAATGTGAGGGCGTTCCAACATTCTGATTGGACGAACAGAAAGCTTGCGCACCCAGACATTGATGGGGGGACGTCCCACCAGCATTTTGATTGGACAAGAAGAAAGCTTGCGCACCGAGACATTGATGGGTGGACGTCCTAGTATTCTGATTGGACGAGCAGAAAACTTGCGCACCGTGACATTAATGAGGGCGTCCTAGATCCTGGTTTGAAGAGAAGTAGTAGGTTATATGGGGGATCAACGAAGCTCAATTCGTTGCGCAATCACTGTTTCTTTTTCTAGTATTGACCGAATTTTGCTATTATTCACAGACAAGTTCGTTCATCACAGCCTTGCAGAGCATGTCAAATGCTGAAGTCGGTGATATCTTACTGTCGTTGTGCTACACTACCAAAGACCAGACCCTCAACGTATCTATCATGAAAACCAGTAACTTATCAGCTAGCCTCTTCAATTCTTCAGGTACGTCAGTATCACACTCAACAGACCTTATTCGTGGTGTGACAATGTTTTCCCAATTCAGCGTGACAAACCTCCAGGGGATTCATTTTCTTTTGTTTTTACTCTTCGAAAAATTAATGAGTATCCCAAAGGATACGAAAGGAATAATGATGATATCCTGACGAGTTTCAAAACAATAGCTCTTCATTTCCCCAGAGGTTTGTCACGCTAAATTGGGAAAACATTGTCACACCACGAACAAGGTCTATACGCCTTATCACTAGTGTTTTCCCATTTCAGACCACGCGTACCATTCTCCTGAGTATAGTTTTTTCTTTTTCTTTGGAAAGCACGTGGTAGCGCGCGCTGCTGGTGCACTGCCGCTGACCACGGTTTTCATTGGTTCAATCCCCGGAATATCCTTTTCTTCGAGGTTTTTTCTCTAGGTTCTCTGTTGTTCCTTCCTCCGCAAAAATCAACTTCGGCAAAATCCATTTCCATCATGGAAAGAGAATCACGTATTTGTTATCCACCAGCTACCCTCTTAAATCAATGCAAGGAAGATATTTTATTTTATTTTTCAAATTCATAGTAGTTTTTCTTCTCTCCTACTACTTGATGAACAAAATAATTATAATGAAGGTGAGACGAAAAGGCGCAAGGCGTTAATTTGTAGAAGCCATATATTTTTTCAAGAGTCCTCTTATGCAACTAACCCCAATATCTTTTTTTATTTTAAACGCTTTTCTTTCAATAGAAAAAGTTTACGTTAAAGGCGTGTTTGCCTTGGATAACAAAAGATTAGCCAAACGAAAGACAAACCTACGTGAGGTTGGATCTAAATACACCATTTTTAACGAGGCCCTTCTCTTTCGCGTCCCTCGAGTAACCCTGGATCAAGGAACATTGACAATTTCTCTTAACCGCTACAACCTCGTTGGAAAGAGCTCTACGATTGGTGTAGTGTCCTTCGGCCCGCTGTCAACTGGGCCAGAAGCTGCTCACTGGGATGACATGCTCGCAAAGCCAGAAAACTTCAGCGCGATGTGGCATATATTGAGGGGATTCAAGTTTGGTGAAAGAGAAGTTCAACAGCCTACCTATCCGTAAAAGGCTTTTTTAGTTGACAATTGCAGCTTCAAATTTTGAAATTATGGTGCACGTGACAAGGAGTTTGTTCTTTGCCTGTGAGATAAATGCGGAGACATTAAATAGGAAAAGCGAGAAAAAGGGAGGAAAATGAGAATTGAATAAATCGGAGGAAAGTAAAGAAAATTGGAATAAAGATACTTTGATAAAAAAACTCATGCAAATGGGAAAGAAAGTACATAATGAAGGCAAGAAAATTTGGCCAATTTGTTTAAAAAGGAGCGCTAGCGTAAAATTAGGTAAAAGAAAGAATTTATGAAGTAGAAAAGCTATAGAGCATAGTAAGAACTGGTATAGTAGTAAGTTTTCATAACTATATTATATATTTATAGTTTGGTTTTGATATGTCAAAATGCTTGTGATAAAAGTAAAATTAAGTGAAAAGTGCTTTCTTCAGTTTCATTACGTTTCCTTGCCTTGCCTTGCCTTGCCTTGCCTTGCCTTGCCTTGCCTTGCCTT